TTCCCAGGTTCTCAAAACAGGTGAGAACTCAGTAACTCTACGTGCTGATGGGCAAGGGAGTTGTCCTGATATTTAACACAGAAATACAACTTGAAAATATGTAACACAAAATTTTTTAATTTATTATTGGATAAGTGAAAGTTATGCTTGGAGAGCCTGTGGCATATGATCTGATGTTGTCCCCTCTTGTTCAAGTACCCCTCCTTTGGGGTTTAATCATGGGATGCTGGAGGCAGAGTTTTTTCACCTGAAGGAGGGAGGTCCCAGCTCTAGATCTTGCTTTTCTAGTTGATTTGCTGGTTGACTTTCAGTGCAACTTGTTTTATCAGGTTCTTTTCTTCTGGCAGAGATACATAGCTAGGTAGAAGGTGGTAACTTTTATTAATTTTGAAGCTGTTTGTTTTGTATCTTTCTTTTTCATAATGTTGTCGTAACATTTGCTAGGAATTTGAGTGTTCTTTCTGTTTTAACACTCCCAGTATTTATGAAGCTCTGCAGAATAAGAGATTTGCTGTATGAACTCACAGAAACAGAGTATGAACAGGGTATGCAGTGACTGGTGAAAATCATCAATGCTCGATTACTGAAACACTCTACAGTCTCTGCAGTCCTCAACCTTTCAGCCTTCAGTCCTTTGCTATGATGTGTCCTACTGAGATGTGATCTTGTGTTGGATTCAGTTTATGCTTGCAGTTTACAGTTCAAGAGATTACTGCATACTCCTGGAAGCGTGGTGTTCGGTTCAACTTGCATCGTCATGACTCAGCACCGTGTTGCACAAACTTGAGTACTACAGTGAATGTTGTTGAGCTTAGGGGTTAAAGCCCAGGAAAGTAGCAATTGATTTGGTTGATCTTTATGGTGGATTAGTGTGCCTTTCCTAGGTCTGCATGTCCAGTTGTGTTTACATCTTTTTATGAACACACATAAACTAAAACCAGTTTTTGTTGGTTAACATCCTTTCTAAAATAAGCCAAATGATAGCTCTTGGTAGTGATTTTTACTGGTGGTTTTTACACCACTTGTTTGCTCTTAAAAAAAGAAAAAGAAAGCATCAGTTGTCATTGCAAAGCAGGGAGTGTTTTCTAGCCTTTTTGAAAAAGAGCGGAATTGCCTTCTCGAAGTTGCAAACAAAAGCTTTGAAACTAAAGTTGGTGTTGGGCTTGAGGAAGAAAGGATGATTCACTAGTACTTAGGGCAGGAAAGCTGTCTCCTTAGCCTGATGCAGTTAGAGAAACTCAGATATTAGATGATATAGGTGCCTACCTTGAGCCCTCCAATTAAGAGCTATATTCCTTAAAGTACCTCTGTGTTAAATTAGACTTTTCAGATAACTTCACGAGTGATGGGTTAATGTTTAAGAGTGGAAATGCTTCAAATGACTGAATTCCCGTGTCCTAATTTATTTTCATCTGTGATATGTTATTAAGAAGCTACTAATTCAACTGCTTTTCATTAAAGGGAAAAATGTGTTTTCTTTATGTCTAATTAGGAATTGTATTTATGTAATGCTTTTATTTGAATTATGTGGGGCTTTAATTTTTCTACAAATACACTCAAGAGAAGTTACATATGATTCAGGTTTTGTTCCAGATTGTTTTGGTATTAAATTTAGCAGTGCTTTTTAAGAGAGATGGAAAGTACTGTGAGCCTGGTCTTCTGTAGAAGTCTGGTAATGCATGTTTTTCTTGTTTCTCAGGATAGTCCTGTAGCAGTCTAAGCCAATCTTTAACACTGTTTAGAAAATATAATGAACATGGTACAACTTCCTAACTGTTACAGAAAGTTGCATGTGTAATAGTAAGTGACAGCAGAATTATTCATTTGCGTAAGCATGTGTTCACGCATTTAAGCAAGTCTGAACTGCAGTCTGAGGGGAGATCATTTAAAAAAAGAAAAGGAAGTGTTGGCAATCATTCAAAACAATAAAATTTGAGCATTGGCTACACAGCTTGTGTTAAAATAGATGAAACCAAATGGTTGAATAAAAATGCATTATTTCAGTCTTACTGGTGTTGTAAACGTGATTGCTCTCCTTTTAATCTGGTCTAGAAAAACCAGAGGGGAAGGTTTTGAATCTGTGCATGAAGTGTAAACCCCTGATAAATACCTGTTAAAGGAAAGTACCTTACGCACAAATTGACTTGATAAATATGAATGCATGATAAAGCACTCTGCTAAATTAGAACCACCAACACAAGCAGAAAAAGCATTGCTTTTTATATGTTTAAAATGGTAAAGTAGCCTGAACAACTGAAAATTATTGCTTTAAGAGATAAATTCAAATAATCATTTAAAATATAAAGGATTAAGAATGTTTAATAAAACAGTCAAAGTATTAAGAAATGAGGGTCAAGTCTTACAGTCCATACTTACACAAACTTCAGGTCCTGCTGACTTCGCTATGAATAAGCATGCCAAAATCTGTCTGTAAGTTATATTTTCCTCTAGCAGGAAAACCTCAGTAGAAATTGGGAGAACTTCATGCAGTCAATAGTTTTGGAAAGAGAGTTGCAGATTTATTTTCATGAATAAATATGCCAATATAGAATTAGATTTTTTTTTTTTTTAATGAAATGGTATTTAAAATTCTGTGAAAAGGTTCTAGAGAATTTGGGCCTGCTGCTGAATGGGAATGGGGATATAGTCACAAAGACCAAGGAGAAGGCTAAGGTGATGGATGCTTTTTTTGTCTCAGTCTTTGCTGATAATACTGGCCTTTAGCAGTCCCAGGCCCTTGAAACCAGTGGGAAGGTCCAGGGGGAGGCAGACTTACCCTTGGGGGAGAAGGAGCAGGTTAGGGAATATTTAAACAAACTGGATGCATGGAGGTTCATGGGCTGTGATGGGATGCAGCCACATAGAATCATAAAATCTTTGTGTTGGAAGGGAACTTTAAAGGCCATCTAGTCCAACCCCTCTGCAGTGAGCAGGGACATCTTCAACTAGATCAGGTTGCTCAGAGCCCCGTCCAACCTGACCTGGAATGTTTCCAGGGATGGGGCATCTACCACCTCTCCGGGCAACCTGGGCCAGTGTTTCACCACCCTCATTGCCAAAAATTTCTTCCTTATATCTAGTCTAAATCTGCTCTCCTTTAGTTTAAAACCATTACCCCTTGTCCTATGACAACAGGCCCTGCTAAAAAGTCTGTCCCCATCTTTCTTCTGAGCCCTCTGTAAGTACTGGAAGGCTGCAGTAAGGTCTCCCCAGAGCCTTCTCCAGAGCCTGGAGGGCTCACATGTGCTGAGGTGGCTGACTGGCATCATTACAAGGACACTGTCAGTAATTTTTGAAAACTCTTGTGGGAGTTCCTTGAGGACTAGAAGAAAGCAAACATCATGCCTGTCTTCAGGTTGGGGAGGGAGGAGTATCTAGGGAGCTAAAGGTCTGTCAGCCTCATGTTGATCATATTAATATTAATAAATATTATAAATAGATATGATAAATATGGAAGGTGATGGAGCAAATAAATGTGAAAACCATTTCCAAATATAGAAGGCAAGATGGTGACTAGGAGTACTCAGCACAGATTTATGAAGGGGAAATTGTCTGACCAACCTGATAACCTTCTATGATGAGCAGAAGGCTTGGTGGATGTTCTGTATCTTGACTTAACTAAGGCTTTTGCCACTGTCTTCCATGACATCCTCATTGACAATCTGATGAAGTTAAGAACTAGTTAAGTGGACTGCAAGGTGAAAATTAAGCAAGTTTGCAGACAGTGTGGAACTGGGAGGAGTGGTTGATAGACCAGATGGGCATGCTGCCATTTAGAAGGATCTCAGCGGCTTGGAGAAATGGGCCGACAGGAACCTCATGAGGTTTAACAAAGGGAAATGCCAAGACTTCCACCTGGGGAGGAATGAATGCAGACACCCGCACATGCTGGGGGCCGATGGGCTGGAAAGCAGCTTTTCAGAGAAGATCCTGGGAGTCTTGGTGGGTAAGATGCTGTGAAGATGAATGTGAGCCAGCAATTTGCCCTTGTGACAAACATCATCCTGGGCTACATTAGGCAGAGCATTGCCAGCAGGTCAAGGGAGGTGATCTTTCCTCTCTGCTCAGCACTGATGAGACACATCTGGAATGCTGGGTGCAGTTCTGGGCTCCCCAGTGCAAGAAGACATGGACATACCAGAATGAGTCCAGTAAAGGGCCATGAAGATGATAAAGAGAGTAAAGCATCTGGCAAATGAGGAAGGGCTGAGAGAGCTGGGACTGTTCAGTGTGGAGATGGAGAAGACTCAATGGGCTATGATGTGTGTATGAATACCTGACAGGAGGATGCAAAGGGGAAGAAACAGATCCTCCTTGTGGTATCCAGTGACAGGATGAGCAGAAATGGACACAAATTGACAGACAAGAAGTTCCATTTAAGCATTAGAAAAAAACCCAGCCTTTTTTCTTTTGTACAGTGTGGGTGGTGAAACACTGGAGCAGATTTCTCACAGAGCTTGTGGAGTTGCAGTTTATGGAGATACTCAAAATCTGGTTGGACATGGTCCTGGGCAACCTGCTGTAGCTGACCTGAGCAAGGGGCTTGGACCTGGTGATCTCAAGCAGTGCCTGCCAACCTCCACCGTTCTGTGGTTCTGTGATCTCTTAGCTCTTTAGAGAGTTCACCCTCAATTGCACCCATTTGGGGTTTTTGGTTTGGTTTGGTTTTGCTTTTTTTAGTGCTCTTTCAATTTTGGAGCATCTGGAGACATACTGATCACTTCACAAAAAAGGTAGTGGGTTGACTGCAGGTCTGAAGCAACTTGTTACTTGGGCTTTTTATATATATTTTGTGGGCTTTAAAATGAGCATGTTTAACTTTTTTTCTGCAGTCCAGTTCCATTCTTGCATACATGTTTAGTCATACAGAGTACTAAAAGAGTCTGTATAAATAATTCTGTATTAAATAATACAGAACTTTAAATGGATAACTAATTTAAAATCAATAACAGATATGGTAATAGAGCAAATGTATAACACACTTTAACTGTATCTTTCAGTCGTGGCCTGTATATGGAGAAGTATACAACAAAATGCTGGAGCTTGCAGCATTTTTAGACCTGCCTCGTTTTCCAGATATAACAGACAGCTGCTTTCTTCATCCAGACATGTTGTGCATGAAGTACCTGATGGAAGCTAATTTACCTGGTAAATATTTTCCCAAACCTGAACTGATAAAATTTTTTTGCATTAGTAAACTCTGGCAAAAAAACTTGAATTACTACTTTAGAATTACTACTATCTAATTTATACCCATTTAAGCTTGAACTGAAAGATAATTTCTATAGAAAGCACCTTCATCAAACATTTAGATGATGTATGATAGGCCATTATATGCAGGGGCACTCTGGTCCCATGCTGGCTCTCTAAGGCTGTGGAGTGGGTGCTTCATTTCAAATCTTTCAGTATCCATATGAACTAAGAGGCACTAGTTGAAGTCACTTGATTTATTAGCTTTAGCTAAATGATTAATTAAGTTGGTGCCTGATTGCTTAGTGCTGGATTGTCATATATAATAGTGAATATATATCCTATAATATTGCATATTAGCATTAATTTTAGTATTAACAAGCGATGCTGTGTGACAAATCAGCGGCTGTCTCGATTTCTGATTAGTTTTGAAATCATATATTGCATAAATAATTGAATATTTTTGTTTATCCTAAAATTAAGTCTTGAATATTGAATTGCCAAAGAAAGACTAATAAGTCCTAGAACATGAACTGTCTGTTGGGCTACAATACCTCCTATCAAATACCACTGTCACAGAAGATGAGTTATACAGACAAATAGCCTGTAAATTAATATTTTTTTTTTTTTCCTCAAAGCATTCCAAGAATTAATAGTTTGGGTTTTTTTATTGTCTTATTTTGCAGTTAGTTACATTGAATAAAGCTATTTGGCTTTTCTGTGTACTCGCAGTTGAACGAAGAGAAGACAAAGAACAGATTTAGGGCTAAAATTCCAGAGTAGAGATTCTGATTTTGTAGTTTTACACCAGTGTTGCGCTAGAGCCTACAGAGAATGACATTATGTTTCAGATTTTGAAGTATCAATTGAATCAAAGCAGCAGCTAGAATTTGGCATCTTCAGATCACAGAATCACAGAATCATTAAGGTTGGAAAAGACCTTTAAGATCATAAAGTCCAACCGTCAACCCAACACCACCATGCCCACTAAACCATATCCTCCAGTGCCACGTCTACACGTTTTTTGAACACTTCCAGTGATGGTGACTCCACTGCCTCCCTGGGCAGCCTGTTCCAATGCTTGACCACTCTCTCAGTAAAGAATTTTTTCCTAATATCTAGTCTAAACCTCCCCTGGTGCAACTTGAGGCCATTTCCTCTCATCTTATTGCTAAATAGATTTATTACAGAGAAATAAAGCTACGTAGTCTTTGAAAATTACTGGAAAAGAATATATCGTCCTTTACTTTTTCCTTGCTACTAAACTCTTTATCATGTAGAAGCATTTTTTACAATTTGAAAAAGGACTGCTGTTATTGTCTAACAACTCCTAAAAAAATAAATTAAGCAATGGATTGGTAGTGCCTCTTAGGACATTACTTAAAATGGCCTTTCATTATTATTTATCTGAAATCAAAGAAAATATACTGACAGTATTCATAAGAAAATTTGGTTTCCAGATTTTGTTTAACTTTTACTGTTAGGTATGAAAGGATTAAAAATGAGTTCCTACTGAACTCTTTGTAAGCAGCAAGAGAGTATAAAGTATAGCTGGATTAAGGTTGTACTTAGTCATACATTGCTAACCTTTGTGGAATCTAATGGTGATGTAATCAACTCCTGTATTTCTTGCTGAACAGGAAAGGTGAGAAATTTGGGGGATTTGTATCTGTGAAAAATAAGCATAGAGTAATAAGAGACTGTATAGATATCATACTGCTGCTTTTGGAGCTGTAGTTGTATCTTTTCGACATAACCCAGCTTTACAGGGTAATGCTGGTTTTAACCTAGGCTGGCACTGGCTGTACCTCAGCTGGGTTTTGTCAGGGTAGCAGCGAGCATTGCCCTGCCACGCTGGGCTGCTGTTCACACCCAGCTAACTTCTTTAAAAATAGCCCCTGTTCCTCTTTGAGGTACTGAATCTGTCCTTGCATGGGTGTTCAGTCAACATGGAGGGAAGAAGTTTGTGACAATTTTTTGGCTTTTGGGGTTTTCTGAAATTGTAATTATGTAGATGTAAGATAGGCTTTCCCACAACAATGCTCAGGATGATCTAACAACATCATTCAGGTAACATCAAAACACTATTAAAAATGTGACTTTTTTTTTTTCCCCCACCATGTGAATCTATAGTAAATCATAACTGTTTTCCACGCAAGCACAATGAAGGTTGCTTAGTATTTTAAAAAATACCCCAAAATACTTTTCAGCCTGAAAAAAAAAATGCTGTCCAATGGTCCTAAAAGACATAAGCGTTCTTTTTTCCTCAAATGACCAACATATTTGGTCGTTACCAGCCTGATCTAGTTGAAGATGTCCCTGCTCATTGTAGGGGGAGTTGGACTAGACGACCTTAAAAGGTCCCTTCCAACTCAAACTAGTCTATGATTCTATGATATTTGCACTGTAAAAGTACTTCTAACTTGTCTCAGCATACTAATTTTGTATTTTTATTTATATCATTCAGATGAATTGCATAATTGGACTTGTCGAGTGGTGAAAAAGATCTGTATTGGAGAAACTAATTTCCTGACTCTTGTGCCTGGAAATAAGTCAACAAGAAATGTGAAATACGATGTTCTTGCTGCAGCAGTTATTGTAGTTGTGCTCAAATTATTGTTTTTATTAGATGATCACTATGAATGGTAAGTGTACAGGTAAATCTGCAGCAAAGCCCAAATTCCAAATAGTGCAAATGATTGTCTTGCACTATTCTTTAGTAATATTGAATTTGTAGTATTTGAATTTTGATTAAGTTTAGTAGCATAAAACATACACTGAAGGCATTTTACACATTAAATATTATTTCTTTTTTAAAATTGTCAGTTTGAATCTGAAACTTGGAATAAAATTAGGGTGTAATTTTTGACGGTTGTATTTGAACTTCATGTGAAAAGTGCAGTATTTGGATTTACAAAATAGCCTGATGCGTTTTTTTTCCAGGTTACTTTCAGACTTTGCTGAAGAAAGAAATAAAAATAACAAAGAAGGTACACAAATTTTATTGTAGAAGCAGTCTTATAATTTTGTAAATGAAATAACTTTGTAATCAGGCTTAGAAAGTCTTCTCTTACTGATCATGAAAATGTGTTTTTCTCATTTATTCTTTTAGGGCAAATATTTATTCAAAGAAAATAGTAGATCTTGTTCGTGTAAAATCATCTCAGTTTACCTGCGTAATCCTTATTGTACTGAATAGGGGAATCTGGTACACGTTTTACTACGCACCTTTCTGCTTCTCCTTGTGCATGTTTGCCTCTTGTTTTAGAATTTTATGCATGGTAGGTGAAGATGAATGGATACGCAGTAAAGAGGGAACGCACTTTGATCGTAAATAGCAGATACTTATTAGGGGCATCAAACCACGTTTATGATAAAATCCAAACTTGTTTAGTCTTGTTAAATAAAATATCTTGGTGTGTAACATATTTCAGATGTAATCTATTTTCTTAGTCCAAATAATCCTGAGAGAGTGTGGAAAAGCTAGCAGCAATTAAGATAAAGAAGATAATGGTGTGAACATGGTTCTTTGAGGGCAGAAAGACCAAATCAAAGATTAGAAATCTTCAGGAAGATGTTCCATGGCCTGATCCAGATCACAGTTGAAGATACGATCAGATGTGTTACAGTGGTTTATCTTTTAAGCTTTCCATCCAGTTTTGGGTCCATTTTGACCCTTCTGTTACTTTTAAAAAATTCAAGTCAATAATAAAATCGGCGTTAGCCATGCGTGAGCACAATTACTGCTGTATCTAGAGATAGTCATCACTGTTAACTAAAACCGGTAATTCTCATTTTCAAGTGGATACATAAACTTATTTTGGATCTTATTTTTTTTCCTTTTCATTTCCCTTGAAAACTTGAAGTACATAATAGTGACAAGAGTAGAAGTTGTGCAACTGCTTGCAAGCTGAGGCTCAAAGCCATTAATGCCTTAATGGGGTTTTCTCCCTTACTAACAAGTCTCATTGCCCTTGGGAATTAATAGCTCATTCTTTGACCACTTTTTTACTTTAAAATCCACTGGTGCAAAATGATCTATATGCTATGTTATGTTGTTCTTATCCTTAAAATGTTGGGGTGGCGGTGAGCAGCTGCGCAGAGGAGCTGATGTGAGAATTTCTGTTAGAGCACTTATTACTGCCAGAGCTCAAAACTGCCTCTGGCATTTTCCCAAAGTTAGCGTGCTGAAATGAATAATGGTTAATACTGAGTTTTAAAGGTCCAATTTATGTTGACTCCGTTCTCAATTTAACTACCCTTTCTCCAGTCTCTCACTTTTTTTTTAATTAAAAAAAAAAAAATTTGGCTCCTACAGTTTTTCAAGACAGACTGGAAGCTGTACAGTAGATAGTTGTAGTTACCTAGTGTGTTTGTGTGTGTATATTGTATGAACTGCACACATACCAAGCACTGTTTAGGTTCAAATAAAAGATATGACTGAGATGTATATATGTATGTGTGTATCAGAGAGCTGTGTATTTTCCCATCAGCAGATGGGGAGCATCATGGCTCTGACAATGGTTTTACTTGTGACAGATGCTTAATAACTCATAGGAAGTTTAATAAAAATTTCTGCCGCTCCTTCCCTCCACCCCCCGCCCAGCAGTTAGGAGTACTTGCTTAAATCTCTGAGTTTAAGGAGTTCATGAAAGAAGTTGTATCCACACTTTTGAATGTGGATACTTAAGAACTACTGAAGGGTCTTTCTTCCCTTCATTTGTTAGTTGCTTTTTGAGTCCATCTATATTTCTAGCATCTAAGACATCCTGTGGCAGGATAACTTGAATAGCAAAAATGCAGATAATACAAAATGTATATAGGCTTGATTATAAGAACAGTATATTCACCTTCAAAACAGTTTAAACAGGTCGCTGGCAAAGCTAAGCATGATGCAAGCATTGCATGCAGTGCAGCTGGGGTGATGGGGAAATGCAAAGCCTAGTTAATTCACAATGCAGATAATCCACCCACAGGTAATGAGAGTTGATTATATTTTAAATATATAAATCTAGACCATAGTTCTGTGTGGAATTCTTATACTTACTGTACCCAGTTGGTCTACTTCAGTCCTGTGCCTCTTTGGAGCATTGATGATATGGGCTGTTGGAATGCCATACACATTAATGTTTTCTCATGTGCTGGTAAATATTTGTTCACATATCAGTGAGTGAAGTTCCTGTGCTCAGAAACATGGGAGGCTGATAAAAAGTGAATACAATTCTCTAGTCCATCCTTGCTGCCCTGTAACATTTCATGGATAGCAGGGTAGACAGTGGGGAGTTGATTAAGCTATTTGAAATCTTACATCTGAGCTCATTAAGATCTAATTTGTTTAAACCAAAGCTTGATGTACAGTTTCATTAATCCCTTGAAGTCAGCTTTCAAACAGATGAAGGCCATTGTGGAGATGTAGTTCATTTGGTAGAGAAGGGGTACTTTCTAGGCTTAACTTTCAGAAAGGAAGGGAAAGGACTGAATCGTGCTAAATCTATGAAATCTATTCTAAGCTAAGGAGCTTCCTTGCACTTCTTTTGACATGCTGTTCTTTCACTGTGTTTCTGCATTTCTCTTTCTTACAGAATTGTTAGATCAAGTAAGTCTTCTTAAAGCACATAGAATTCAGGATAGCTTTGCATACAGGTGGAAGACGCGGGGTCTAACTGTGTGGAGACCACCTTCTGTGTACTATATGTTTCTTTGACTTCTTCCCAACCTAAAATGTGAATGTTTTATTCAGGTTGTCCATATTTTGAGTTCAAAAAGTGGTACAAGGTTATAAAATGTTCCTTGGATGTGGAGCAAAAGAAATTGGATGAAGAAAGAGCCAAGTAAGAGGTTTTCAAGTACTTTATCTTTTCTAAGGTAGACAGGTTTATGTGAAATCCTGACTCCCCCCCAGAAATTAAAAAGGTTAGGAATTTGCTCCACACTCCCATCCAGCAAGCTTGGGTGAATAGAGTGATTAAATCCCTATCTTAATTTTCTATTTACACTCATAATGTTTATCCAGCATGTTAATTAAATGCTCACTTTCTGTGACAAGTAGCTTGTACAACTGCACAATTCACTGATTACAGCAAAACTAGGCTTACATACCTCAGTTTAACTATTCTGAAAAAAGACTTCCTAGATATGTTGGAGGGGCAGTGGGTTTTAATAGCACTAACCATTAGATTATTTTATTTTAATAGCTCTAGCAGTATTTGTAAGAAATTACTATTCTTTTACTTATTTGCCTCAGCTTGCTTTTTCATAATACTTCTTATGTCTCTTACTGGTAGGTGCCTGTGGAGATGTGAAAAGCCACTGTTTTATTCAGCCCAGAAGAAATCTAAAGTTCTTAAGAGAAGACGTGAGTAAACTTTGCCTCTTCCCAGCAGCAGAAAAATATGCCCCAACTTTTCTCAGCACAGAAAATCTGCAGCCCTGACTGTGATAACTTTTACATCTTGAAATACTTTCTATTCTCTCTTTCATCTCTGGGTACAATGTACTGTTTTACAGCCTGTGGCTGGAATTCTCCAAACAGACATTTTCCTCATGCTTAACTGAAACTGCCTTTGCCAGTCTTCCTAATGACCTACCGAACCTCACTCAGAATGAGTACTCTGTCCTTATCTTCACTGGTTGGTCAGCTGCCTTTCCGTAACTGTGATCTTCATGAATTGTTTTTGGTCTTCCATAGGTTTCCTGTCCCTTTTCTCCTTTGCTTCCTCATATCCTTCCCACTCCTTCTTGCAGCCTCCTATAGAAAGTGAGGAAGGCTTGTCTGAACGTGACTTTACTTGAAAAACTAACTATATGTGGTCCAAATGGAGGTACATCTACTTCATTTTAGTAGCTCTAGAAGTACTTATAAGAAATCAATGTTTTACATTTTTCATTTGACTGCTTTTATGTCAAAAACCCCACTTATCTGTGGAAATACAGAAAACCAGAATTTTACTCAAACCACTTAGATCTGAAGTTCTTTGTTTTAAATTTAATAGTATCTAGTAAGCAGCAGATATCTGGAGAGAGATGTTAAGTGTGGCAAGTGATTTTTTTTCCCTTTATATACTTTTCCAGTTTCTGGAAGTGACTGGTTCAGGGACTTCTAAACAAGTCATATAATCCTATTTGGTTTGAAAAACTCATGTTGGATTTCTCTTTCAAGAATGCGGTTGGGGTTTTTTTTTTAATGTTCTTAGTCTTCAAAATTCAGTAGGCATGATCCTTCAGTCAAGTCATGTTCCATGGAAAAATGTGTTTAGGTTTGTTTCAAGCTGATCATTTGCTCAGATGTCCTGTAGTTTCCTGTGTTTATAAGACAAAGTGAATGATAATTCATTGTTCGTCATTTCTGGGGCACTCTAGATTCTTCTTCTGGCTCTGCTTCTCTTTGAGCTAGAAGAGGACCACTTAGATTACGGGGCTTTACCACTGGCTGTTGCAAGCAGGAATATCACATAATGCCATTGCAACTGGGCAAGATTAATCTTAAACCAAATCTAAAGTAGTAGAGACAAAGAATACTTATGCAAAGAGTGCTCGAGAACACTTACGTGCCAGATACAGGTTTTTAGAAACCTTCCTCAGCCTTTTTTTTTTTATGGTAGTTTCCATCAAAACATTTTAGTGTCCTCTTGAATCCAGTCCTTGGATTCCTTTAGGATATCTTTTTTGCTTTTTTTCCAGTTTATGAATTAGTTTATTTAGATACAGGTCCTAAAAAGAAGTTGAAGCTCCAACAACAGTGGAGCTGTTAACCTGCTTTTTATCCTAGGAAAACAAGGCTTAGGCAGTCATATTGCATGATCTGTCATCATATCTTCTTTCCCTGTTCAGCCTCAATAACTTACAAAAGTTAGTCGTTCTTGCCCTAGCAGTGGGGAAAGGTGGAGTGTGGGTTTTTTGTTGTTTTTTTTTTCCCAGTTGAAATTCACAGTATGAGAAGTTTAACTTTAAATCCATATGTGTATGAAACCAGGCTTCCTTAATTCTGATACACAGGAAACTACTCAAAAAAAATCTTAGCCAGTCTGAGTGATAACATACAATGAGGTAAATATAGCGAAATGCATCCTGGGCTGTGACTTCTGTCAGAATAAAAATACCAGCAGTATCAAATGGATTTTGCTGTTTTTACACGGGGAATCCTTTTGGAGTACCCCAGTATTAATATCATTAGGTATGAAAGATGTGGTATTTTAAGTTGTCTTTCAAAATCTTTTCCCTAAAGCATGTGACAGAGTTGAATTTTAAATGGAATGGGGGAGAGAACATACAGACCTTCAAGGTTTCTCAGTATTCCATACAGAAGCTTAAATAAAAAAGAAGCAAAAAGGAAAAAAAAAAGGCACAAACACCTTGTTTTCTTCTTCTATTAATCTCCTCTAAAGAGTATTCTAATAGTTAATACTTTTGCCTTGGTTTTTATTTCTATTTGTACAGAAATGGTTGAGAACTTACAAAATCAGTTTGGCAAGCTGTCTGGTTCAGTGCGACCTGCTGAAAAGCCAAATCCTTCAAGTTTTCAGTTACGTTGGTCTGAAGAAAACACAGATGGGAGTTGTTTTCACGGACATAGCCTGAAGGGAATTTTGCAAGAAAAATGTGGTTTACTTACAGCCATGAACCCTGACTATTGGCTGTGTACAGTTAAACTATGTACTGAGAAGTAAGTATTCAAATTTTTGTTAAATACATTTTGGAAAGTTCTCCTGAAAGTAAAGTGACATATAAATTTATTTATTTATTTATTTACTTACTTACTTATTTATTTATTTATTTACAGGTGACAACTATGGGATGTGTACACAGCTATGTATTCACATACAGTTAAAATAATTTGTAGAAAGGGGTGTGTGTGGAATGGTTAGTCTTGGATTGGGAGTAGACAAATTGTAATATGAAGAGTGATCAAAGTGAGCTTTTGAGAAGAGATGAGACAAAATCAACAACTACAGTCACATGGCAAGAGTAGCAGCTAGATACAAATATTCACTTTACTTCCTTCTTCATAGTATTTTAGAAAAAATGTTTCCATTCCTCTCTCCCCTGGCCCCCCAAAAAACATAGGAAACTAATTTTTTTATTTTCTGTCCTTCTTAATCAAAATTAAAGATAAAATTAGCAGTCGGAGATTAAATAAGCAGGCAAGTAATGCCTCCAGACATATTCTTAAAAAAATAATTGAATGAAAAGGTGTCTATCACTATTTCATCTAAGTATATTGGCAATCAACAGTTGTATTTTTTGCAAGCAGGACAGTAAAAGAAGAAATTTCTTTTACTGGAAAAGTAAAAGAAGAAATATGGGAAAATAAAACATTTTGAGCTATTAAGGAAGTTTAGTGTCTGTCTTTACTACAGAACTGTTCCCAAATCCTGACTTTGGCCAGTGAAAGGGAATTTTTTTTTTCCACTTAAGGGTATATCAAAATAGTCATGCTATTTCTCAGTAAAATAATTCTCTTTAAAGGACCTATGTAGCAAGGAGAATGATAGCCCAGCTAATCCAGCCTTGTACAAAGTTATAGAGATATTTCAGTATCTGCCTGGTTTGTGTTGAACTTTTTGCTCTTCCTTTAATATCTTCTCCTCTTGCATCAAATTCTGCAAAAATTGGTGAGTTTTCTATTTGGTGGGTGCTGGCAGAGAACCATGACCAGAGACAGAGAACAAAAGCCCTGTGAAGGGTGGGCGTAGAAGTTTGGCAGAATTTACTCCAAGAAATCGAAAATATGTAAAATAATATTTCTCACAAACTCCCTTGGTGGTATAGATAAAGCTTCTGGATCATAGACCATATTTTGGTTCTGCCATTGGTTGTATCATGAAATCTTAATCTAGAAAATGAACGTACTGGTGGATATCAGTGAAAAAGATGAACTTTGCAGATGGATTGGATTCTTCTGAATTTCTCGTGTGTGCAACTGGAGGGTGTTTTTTGGAAAAGGGGTCAGGGTACATTAATGTGAAATGAGATTTCATTAGCACATTGAATAATATCTTAAATCTTTATCTGGTATATACGTCTAAATGTTATGCTTAAGGGAGCAACAGCACCTACAAAATCTTAGTGATACATTCCTGATTTTTAAAACATTAAATATTCCCCGTGAAAATAACTGGCTTTTACATGTATGCAGTCTTTTCTTTCAATGGATTTATTTGCTTATCTTTATTTTCCTTTTCGCATTACTTTTCACATATCCACCGTGACAGAAATGGGTTCGAATAATGTAAACACAGTGTTATATTACAAGAGCTTTGGTTGTATGGATTCATTCTTTTGTATGAATAAGGAGCTTTTTTTTTGAAGGGAAGAGAGGTAATAATCCTTTTACCACAAATTTGCGTAAATCTTATGTACACACTGAATGAGTGGATATTTCGGGGTATGTTTGTGTGAATAATCCTTCATGCAAAGTCTGTTTTTAAGCCTACATTTTCATATGTAATATATTAAAATGTTAATGGCAAACTGTCATAGCCTTCATGAAACAAGATTTGAATTTAAATTCTTACCAGTTAAATTTCCCATTATATAATTTGCAATGCAAGTAGTTAATTATACATCTGACACTTACTTAACTTTGGAAAACGTCATGTACTCCCTCAGATATGAGGTTTTATCCTATGCAAGTGTGTGTATGTATAATAGAACTAAAAACAAACTTACAAATTCTCTTTCTCTCAAAATCAGCATGGTCTAACTGGGACTACTGAAATGCTTTAATACGAGGACTATGGTATGATTTCAGTGTGGGCAAAGCTGAGATTGGTCAAATGGTTGGTAAAATGCTTTTACATTTTCTTTTATTTTAAAACATTGCATTTTACACTGGATTCCAAATTGATTTGGAATAGAAGTCTTTAGGTGATATACCATGAGGTATTATCATGTGTGGAAAATGTTGAGAAAAATGGATTTCACTTATTACATCTAAATTTAAAATCACTTGGGATTTTTTTTAGCTCTTCAAAGATGCTCTTTGGGTAAATAGCACAAAATGAGGCAAAAATATGTGTGTGTTTAGGTACCTTTGTGAAAAGTGTAACTCCAGCTAATCAAGTAGGTTCTTTACAGTATTGATGTTATTATGCATTTTCCTCAGAATATACAATATCACTCCCTGACCCCGCCAGTGAAAACTGAGGTTTGACACCTAAGTTGCCATAAGAGCTGTAATTGCTGAATCTCAGGGTTAGGGCTAGGACATAGCAAAATGTCTTCATTCATATTAGCCCCAAAATGCAGATTTGGTTCCACGAACAACATTTCTCAATGAAGCTTGAATTTATCAAATGTGTTGGGTTGTGGGGTCAGCTAATTTGTTCTGACAGTGCTAAAATGTCTGAAAATTTAGTTTTTGTAAGAAGTCACTGTAAGCTTTCGGGGAATGTTGAGGTAGGGCAGAGGATGGGACCTCCAGTGCGAGAGACCTAGTTTCAGACTTCTAATCTGCCAGACTTCAGGAGGCTTTAGACAAAGACTCTGCTCCTCAAAGCACCCCTTGCATGGCACTCCGGGACAGGTCCATCTGTTCCTTCAGTTTAAGGTAAAATGTAAATGTTTATTGGGCCAGAGGGAGCGAGCAAATGACTCTATAGTCTAGTAATTAGCACACTTGCCCGTAAATTGGGACAGACAGGTTCCAGTCCTTGTTCTGGTGAATACTTAAGACCGCTGCTCTAAATCAGACAGAGGGGAAATTTTAAACTCTACTGCTCCGCATCCCAGGGCAATACCTAGTAAGCCAGAAGATGCATAGCTTAGATGGTGAAGAGCACCTAAATCCCTATATGAATGTAAAAGATTTTTTTAAAATTGAGACAGCTTATATTATTATTATTTATACTATTTATACTATACTATTTTTATACTTTTTTATACTATTTTAAACTTACTGCTTTTAATAAAAACAAAGTTGGGACTAATCCAGAACAGGGTATTTTCCCAACCTAAATTGCTGAACTTATCATTTTCAGAGCTATTTCTGCAGTCTGTCCTCTGAGTCATCTTTGTTCAGTCTGACACTTGGTACCAGCAAGTCCAGTCTGCTATTTTCATTACATATTTCATCAATAAAATTACATAATCATTTTTGCCATGAAAGCTACAGAGTAATTAAGCAGAAGCCTGCTATAGTGCTTACTATCTGTTGACGTGGACAATATTTGCCCCAGTGTTTCCTGTCTTACTCTGTTGGCTTGAACTTAGCTTTTCTGTTTTGTTTCTAGACAGTTACTTTATATTTAGCGCACAAAGGCAATGGACAAGAAATGGATGGGTTCTAACCACATGGCCCAGTGTCAGGAAGGTCTGTGGGACCCTATGGAGAGTGTGGGCAAAGAATAGGGAAAAGAGCCTGGGATGTCTGCATTGGATAGTCTTTAGAAATTTTAAAAACAGGGTAAGGTAGCCATTTTCACACTTTGCTACATTTGCTAAAGCTGGCACCACGAACACTGGTTCAATTTAGTCCTGAAAGGTAAAGAACGTATTCTTTGCCTGGTTGAGTATGATCCTGATTCATAGTGCAAGATGCTATACACGCTTTTTCTTTCCTACCATGTCTGCACCATCTCTGAATGTGTCTTGGTCCAGTCCTCTTCTTCAAGGTTTTCCAGGAGTGGATGCCTTCACAGAATCGACATTGTAGACCAAAGTTGTGGTTTATGCTGTTGGTAAAATCTAGAGATTTCCTCTAGTTACAATTAAATATATAAAAGCTAGCTAAATACTAACTAAAATATACTTGTAATTTAGAGCTTTGTTTTTTTTTCCCTTTCTTTTCAGAGTGTGTGGTCATGTGGCTCATTACAGAGAAGTGGACTTTCCCCAGAGTTACCATTTTGTACTAAGGTTATTCTCCTTTCTTCTGAGGATACAGCCCTCTCATATCCATGACGAGGTGTGTGTGATAGAACACAAACTTTTTGACAAAAGACTCTGTAAAAAGCCAAAATACAACACAGGCCTAAGGAAGTAAAAATGCCTAAAACCAACAGTAGTTAAACTGTGTAAATTAGTTGGTTGGATCCCAAACCATGGTATTACATCTAAACTTACACTGATCCTTTTGCCTCCATGAAAATTTTTTGTTAAGATAGTAGTGCTGAGATCTACTATTTATCTGTAATTTAAGTCACTGGCTTCCAGCTGGGAAAGTTACCAAGGAAACTTTTAATCACCATTTATTTCCTCACTTTGCATTAGAGCCAACAGGAAACCATGAAATTACTATTTTTGGGGCATAATTGTATATACTTGGAGTGTACTGGACAGCATGTTAGCATCTAATTACATTGTGAGATTTTGCAATTAAAATATTATATATATTTTTACGTACTGTTTTATGACAGCCAATATATTTTTAGAAAGAAAGGTTTACTTTGCTTTGAAACAGTGTGTTAACAAATAAAAGAAGCAGTTGGTTGATGTTTTCACTGCAGTGGCTTTTTTAGTCATTGTTTCTAAACAGGCTGTGCTGGAGCAACCCTGGCACTGTTTTCTACATTTCCTTGCATCCTGTATATCTCCCAGTCTCTTGTTATGCCTGAGCCTCTCATTCAAGTTGACACCTTTCAGGTCCGTGTTCCACTCCAGGCTTCATGGATTTTGCAGCTACTTTTATACCTGGAACTGCCCATCCTATTTCTTGTGCAACAGTAGCTGCCAGGTCCTCCTGTCATTCTTCTTTTGCAAGGCTACTGTTGTTCGAAATTCTTCTGACTGCTTTATAATCCATCATCCTGAGCCCCTTGTGCCTTATCCATTCTACCGGTTTCTCATGCTCAATCTTATTTATACACTCTGTTTTTAAACTGTCCCAGACAACGTGTAAATGAAGTTGGGTACTGCCACTATATTGAAGACACCATAATGTATACATATGTTGAACAGAGATGTTGAGTAGATACTCAACAGTAGTGGGCCCCTCACTACAAGAAGGATGCTGAGGTGCTTGAGTGTGTCCAAAGAAGGGCAACGAAGCTGGTGAGGAGTCTGGAGCACAAGTCTGATGAGGAGCGGCTGAGGGAACTGGGGTTGTTCAGCCTGGAGAAGAGGAGGCTGAGGGAAGACCTTATCGCTCTCTACAACTACCTGACAGGGGGTTGTGTCGACGTGGGTGTTGGTCTCTTCTCCCAAGTAACAAGCGATAGGACGAGAGGAAACGGCCTCAAGTTGCACCAGGGGAGGTTTCGATTGGATATTAGGAAAAATTTCTTCACTGAGAGTGTGGTCAAGCATTGGAACAGGCTGCCCAGGGAGGTGGTGGAGTCGCCATCTCTGGAAGCATTCAAAAAACGTGTGGATGTGGCGCTTCAGGACATGGCTTACAGGGGACATGGTGGCGTTGGGTTAATGGTTGGACTTGATGATCTTGGAGGTCTTTTCCAACTTCAGTGATTCTGTGAAATGGAATTCAGCAACTCCGACCATCAGTACGGGGTACAGAGGTTGCCAAATCCATTTGATCAAACCCAAAATCAACAGCTGTTTCTAAGCATTATTATAGACAAGAAAAATGGTGTCTGCAGACTTTAAAAAGAATAATAGCTTCCTTCCTGAGCAAGGGCTTCAGTGAGATGTAATCTGGGAGGGTAATCAGTTCAGCGAGTAGACTCTGAGTATGGTGGAAGGGTTTAAAACCTGTTGCAGTTCACTCCGTGAAGCCGTTGTCTAAAAATTGAGAACAGGCGAATGATAGGAGAGATGCGCTGCCCTGCCTGTCTGGAGCAAAGTGATAAAGCCGTATTTCAAGCACAGGTAGAGCAGACAGGACTATTAAGGGCAAGTTGTAATAGTTACTTGGAAATACCGGCAAACCAGGAGGCTTCGCTGGCTCAGTAGAGGCAGGAGGTAATTGAGTGTGGTGTCCTGGCTTAAAGTGACAGAAAAGACATGGTTTGGGTGAAAGTTTTTACTTTTTCAGATATTTTAAGTAGTTATTGTAGAACAGGGATTTGGAGCAGTGGTCCTATAAAGTGATCGTAACCTGCAGATGAGAAGGCGTAGTTTTAGCCATACAGAACTAAGCTGTGCTTGATGGGGGAAGAAGAAAGAGCAGCCTGAGCTGTTACTTGTTGTATGTGTTAGAGATTTCCTAAGTGAGTACAGTTTAGTATGTCTAAATCTGTTGCCACGTTGTGCTAGATACCTCAGACTTCCAACAAGATGTTTCTTGAACTGGTTTTTACATTAATGAGCTCGGAATACACCAGTTTGAATCTCCTCTTGTGTCAGGTGTTTGTGTCTTAAAATTAGCCATTATCTGTTATGTTTGACCTCACATGAGTGAATTACTAAGGTTTGTAAATATTTAGTAAAATTATTCATTGTTCTTGTTTTAGGTATTTCTATCAGTTTAAAATCTACAGAAGTGTAATACGTGTTGTGTTTTCAACAGTGCTTGCTCAAGCGACTGAAAGTGTCTCATTCTTTTTACTATAATATCTGTTAAAGTTTTGAATTAACTATCTAAAAGACACGTTATTATACATAAAGGATTCATTTAATTCAGAAGTCTTTATTTGAAAGACTTATGCACTTAATTATAGGTACACCTTCCTTTTTAAACTACTGTAGTAGTAAAATCTGAGCTTCATAAATTTAAAATACTGTGCTCATTGTTACATTGTTACAAATGTAACAAAGCTCCCTTAGATGTTAGAATAAATTAAAGCTGTACTTTTAATAAACTGGAATAAAGCTTGCAGTTAATCATCAAGAGCCATGTGCCTTCTGGACACATGGGTTAAGAGTCAGGTTTAAAAGTAAAGGGTGTGCCCCTAAAATACTTAATGTTGGTTCTATCCAGTTTAATCAATCAACACTTATGTCACAGTAATGATGTTTAAGAAGCTGATGAGCCATAAGAGTGCCTTATCTTCAGTGAAGTGTAGTTGAGCTCTCTTGGGACAACTACTCGGAGTCCAGTTAATATAAGCCTGAGATGGAGCCATGCTGGTTCAACAGACAGCTACCAGCAGATAGCCAAAGGGTAGGGTGTCTGCCACAACCCATCAGTTCCAACCACCTCTTCTATATCTACTTTTAAGTTACAGCTCCTTTCTGTAACTATTGTCCTGGTAAAGCTCAGCTTTCTGATAGCTACTGTTTTGTACTTCTTCCTGTGGGAATTTTTAGTAGACTCTGTTTGTTTTGTTTCTTACTCTAAAAGTTGAATAAGAGTTCTTAAGTGTATAGATAAAGGCAAGTGGGGTTTTCTTTAGATTAAACTTCTAAAACGGTATACATTAGGAAGACTTAGAATAGTTTAAATAATTATTAACTTAGATAATAGCAAATCAGTTATTCTGAGACCTTGATGTGCCTTTTAAAGTGAATTTAGGCTTTTTCCTAGTTTGAATGTTATATTTTAACACACTGTTTTTTTTCTGTCTTTAACAGTGCAAAATTAACCATGCTTTATGAATTCTCCTAAATAATGCAACCTTTCTGTTATTTCAGTGGAGAAGAATGACAGATGTCTCATTTTCTTTTTGAAAGGTACAGCGTTCAGCAGAATTGGTATTTTACCTTACTAGTTTTTCGCTACCTCAGTGTGTCTGCATTCCAACTATTTCAACATATCAACTTAGTCTCAGTCAAATACATTTTTCCTTTTAAAGTTTTTACCATTTTCCAGACATGAAGGAGAGGTGTTTGACTTTCTCCTTAACCTCTTACGCAGAGTGAGGGCCCTGAACCTGATTTAACCAGAGAATGAAAATTGGCAAAGTCCAGTGCCTGAAAGCAATGCTGGCCTAATTTATTTGCCATCCTGTGTTGTATGGGCTTCACTGCACTTACATCTTTTCTAACCCGTTTTTAGCATGACCCCTGAAAAAATTGTGTTTGGAAGGTTTAAGAAAGCTTCATGCAAAGTTGCAGGCAATGCAATGAATAACTCGCTTTCTCATAACTTCTTGGAAAGCTCAAAAGTCCCTTCGTCAAAATTACTTTTATCCCTTTATGGACAGATAAGACTTCTACTGATGGTCCTGAAAAATTATTTCAGGGTATTTATTGTTGGGTAAGTTGTCAAGAGGATGCTTTTGCAGGGCCGGGAGCAAAAGAGCCAGGACCCACAGGGCTTTTGGGAGAGGTAAAGTCTGAAAATGTTCGGTCCCAGAATAAGGTGTCTGCTCCCTGTTTCATCTGTCCTCTCCCCCTGTCAGGTCGAGTAAGTTTTAGGCTGCTTCACAGGCAGAAAAGAGTCAGAATAACTCCATTTAATGAATCTCCTATTTTGACCTAAAATTAAATGGGCTTCCCAGCACATACAGTCATACATGTTTCCTGGCTGAGCATGTCAGTATGTGGATTGGTCAAAGCAGTGTCTCTTGCTGCATTTGCCCTTGTACTAAATGCAGAATGCTTGCTTTCCAGTATCTCCTCTGCAGTTACTGGTCTTGTTGCTGCTCACACGTGAAGCTCCTTTGTTCCTGGCTAGGTCAGGTGAAGGAGAGCATAAAGGGGATGCCAAGATGTGGAAACAGGCATACGTGAAAGAACTTCCCTCACTGCTGCTTGTGCTAGGATGCTGATGAAACGGTGAACAAGAGAGTGAGTAAGGATTGGCAGAAGAGAGGATGGTGAATGCTTGTGTCTTCGCGTGAGGTTGTAGCTGCCCTTGTACAACTGCTAATGGCAGCATTTCGAGAGCCAGAACGCTCCTGCCCAATCCTCAGCATCTACACTCTGCCTCTGGCAGTACATCAGCGAGTTTTAAAAGAAAATACAAGTGCATTCCTCTGATAACTGCACATGGCTGCTCTGTGTTGTAGAAGTATTCTGTGTCTGCTCATAGACCACCCCGTTGTCCTAGGAGTGGCTTTGGTCATCGGCTGCAGACCCTGCCATTGCCTTGTGAGAATGCCACGGACTGTGTTTAGTGTCTCTGTTCCGATCCAATAGCTTGGTCGGGATCCTGGGATGCTTCTGTGCTGCCTCTTCGTGGGGGCTCTCTCAGGGGTGCGGAGTGGAGGCTGCCACGAGAGAGAGAGGGGTGAAGACACCACTTCTTTACAGGCCCAGGGAAGAGAAGAGTGTCCTAAAACTGTATCCAAGTGCCCCAGCTCTCAAGGCCAGGATATCAGACTGCAGAACTAGTGAGTTCCTGGTGAGCTGTCAGCTCCTCACAAGGTAGGCAGGCTTCACGTCTGCAGGCAGGCTGGCTCCAGTGCTTCTGAGCAGGACATCGACCGTGGTCCTGCGATGCAGTGCGGCAGGGCTCCCCGTGACCGCCGCTTGCAGTTTGCTCATGACGCTAGGATGTGAAGGGATCCACCTGGCCGTGGATCTCATCTGCACAGAGACTCATGCTACGTTGAGATAAAATTGCGACAAAACATTTTTGTTTACCGAACTGAGATCCGTGGCGTTTGCAGCTCCTAACTGGGCAGCTGGGTGGTTTCCGTGCTGCGGAGCAAAGTGGATTAGGCAGAGAACAGCATGCAGCGGAAGAGCTGCACAGGCTGTTCTCCTGCTACACCACTGTCGGCCTGCGTGGTGGGAGCTACGTACGCCGAAGTCAAACTCAGAGGAAGCGCAGTACTGGGCAGAGACGAGAAATGTTCAGTGAAACTGGATAGCATGCTGAAGATTTTAGCATTGATAAAGTTCTAGGCTTTAGGCTGACTTTTTTTTTTTTAATATGCAGGCTACTGCAAAATTGATTCATTTATGTTGTCATTTTGGAGCGTCCTCAGTCAGGCTGATGGAGCTGCATCTCCTGCCCCTGAACAGTCTGTATGCTGTCGGCAGTGTCTGCATGATCTTTAGAGCTAAATACAGAATTAAAAGGGGAATCTTTAAGGAATGCCCGCAAGATTGCATATAGTGATATGACTGCAGTGAAAAAGCAAACTGTTTCTTTTCTTTTCCTGTTCTGTATTTCACACACTGTGCTTTCATCTATTTATTTACTCTTTTTTTCCCCCCCTGCAGCTTTTTCCATCTTCTCTCCTACAAGGCATTTCCAGCTTCTTTTTCTACTGTTACTTGTCTTTCTATTTCTTTACACTGTGCCTGCTTTCACCACATTTCCCAGTGAGTTCATGAACCTCTGCCTGGGCTTTTCTCTTTTTTTCTTTCCTTTTTTCTTTCCTTTTTTCTTTCCTTTTTTCTTTCCTTTTTTCTTTCCTTTTTTCTTTCCTTTTTTCTTTCCTTTTTTCTTTCCTTTTTTCTTTCCTTTTTTCTTTCCTTTTTTCTTTCCTTTTTTCTTTCCTTTTTTCTTTCCTTTTTTCTTTCCTTTTTTCTTTCCTTTTTTCTTTCCTTTTTTCTTTCCTTTTTTCTTTCCTTTTTTCTTTCCTTTTTTCTTTCCTTTTTTCTTTCCTTTTTTCTTTCCTTTTTTCTTTCCTTTTTTCTTTCCTTTTTTCTTTCCTTTTTTCTTTCCTTTTTTCTTTCCTTTTTTCTTTCCTTTTTTCTTTCCTTTTTTCTTTCCTTTTTTCTTTCCTTTTTTCTTTCCTTTTTTCTTTCCTTTTTTCTTTCCTTTTTTCTTTCCTTTTTTCTTTCCTTTTTTCTTTCCTTCTTTTTTTTTCAGCCCTTTGCCTTCAGCTAATTCAGTGGGGGTCTGCAATCAGCTTGGGGCTTTCTTTTCCAGCTGTATCGTCAGTGACTACAGGCCTGTTGCAGAAGAGAAAAGCTTGCCTGGTGTGCTGTGTAATGGAGAGCAGTATAGAAGATTCACTGGTCCTTACAACTAGCTCTGCAGCCTGGCCCTCGTGTCTTAGGGGTTCAGATTAAGTAAAAAGTATCTTGTTTTGACTGCCTGCCGCATTTTGTGAAATCAAAAGTACTGTTACAAACTTGATGCAACTTGTTTGTATATTACACAGGCGTGAATGGCCAGTGCGTGTAGACGATAATTATCAGGTAGGAGATTTTAAAACCTTATTTGTTAGGTAAGTCATAGCAGTAGCTAATCCTTGTCCAGAATAATTCCCAGTTTCTCTAGGTAGCTATGTCAAAAGACAGACTAGGAAGAGGTGCAAGCACCTTGAGACAGTGCTCAGCCAGATGGTTGCAAATGGCATGTGAGTTCAGTGGGCTTCTTCGCATGTTTCCGGTGGGATTCATTTCAAAGTGAATGAATACGGGAAGAAGGGAAGGAGAACGCTGAAGGCAGGACCGAGGCAGAAGGAGAGGTAAAGGGAAGGGCGTGAGAGGTGGAAGAGAGCAGCGAGATCGAGGTGAAAAGGCTGCGCGAGGGAAGAAGTTGGAGCAAACGTAGGGCGAGGGAAGTCCTGCCAGAGCACTGCTGCATCAGGCTGGCAGGGCTTTATGCCCAAGCCAAAGCTCTGCTAAATCCCTTTGTGCTTCTTGCCTGATTTTATTCAGCGATGATGCAACATGTTTAGTGACATCACAGAAATACACCTACAAGTGGTGTTACAGAGTGTAGATTGTGACCGGCAGATTAGTCAGTGGTGTCACAATCCGGTGTTTATATCATTGTCTCCTGAATGTGGAAGTGATTGCTATGTTGATAACTAAGTTTTCATCGTTGGATCGGGCTATTAAGAAAAGCTGTCCCTTTGGCAGAGACAACAGCTTTGATTTACTTGGAATAAAACCCTGGTAAATTCTAGTTAAGTAGAGCTAGCAAGTGTGACACATTACTAAGATTTCAGCAATTTGGGTGCAACATAAACATGTGACTGAGCTTCAGCACGTACTGCATCTGGGTCACTTACAGCTACAGGGTAGTATTATATTTTATTGTTAATGGAAAGTATGCCCGTGTGCCAAAAAGCAGTGATTGTGTCTGCACATCCCAGAAGTCTATGAAGAGAAGCGGGGAACGTGAGGAGTAAATAACACCTGAGAAAGTTAGCAGTCCTTTCCAGTACTTGCAGTTTTGAGCTGGTTGTGTAATTTGTATCGGAAAGAAAGCGAGTTATTCTCGTTTGGAAAAATGTAACTTTCTGACATCTTAATTGGATGACAGTATTTTTTTTCATATGTGAGAGCAGATAAGAAATTTTCTTCGATGTGATCTAGATATTTCAAATGGATTAAAAAGAGAATGCTTTTGATTGCATGTCATAAAGAACAATTTACATCAGTTCACTTTTTAGAGCAAGATCCTACTTCAGCAATGACATTTATCTTTTGTCATCCTAATGGCAATGTTTGCAGATCTAAACAAAGCATTTTGTTTCTAGAACGCTACTTGTAATCCAGTCAGAGGATATTAAGCAACTTCCAGGATTAGACCCTTAGTGAAAGTTTGTTCCCTTTAGTTTCATGTTTCCTTTGGTTGGCTGCTTGAATTGTCCTTCTATAATTTTGCATTGGAGTATATCCTGTATAAATAGGGGAGAGATTTTGACCTAGAAGGAGAGACCTCTTATTAGTGTGCATACTTTTAAATTACAGCAGCTATCTGAAGCATCTTGACATGATAGATAGCACTGTTGCTATATGGGTTTGATTCAACTTGTTACTTAAACAAGCAACCTCCCACCCTTATTTCTCAAGGAGAAACTTAAGATCTTTCTGATTTACGCTCGCGCATGCCACTGGGGCGATGGCCGATGGATCTGTAACGTTGCTGCTGTTAAGAGCAGAGGCTGGGGCTGGCTCTGTGCAAACCTCCCTTCTCCGCCAGGCAGGTCCGGACGCGGGGATCCACCAAATGACGGCGCCGTAGGCCCGTTTTAGGCTTCAGTGCAGGACAAAGAAATAAGGTTAATACGTGACGGGAGAACGGAGACACCTTTTTAGTGCGAAAACGACACCAGCGTGCCCACGCGTGCCCCACCGTGAGCACCAGCCCCGGGCCGGGCCCGTCGGGCGCTACCCCGGGCCTGAGGCGAGCCGGGAC